TTTTTTTATATGTGTATGTGTACATTAAATTTGCCAAATGCAAAAAATACAATTAGTAAGTTCAAATGGATTGGATGCTGATATAAGAGGTTAGTGTAACAAAAGTGATGAGTTGTCACAAACGACTGTTAAAGACGAGTTACGTAATAATATGAATAGTTTGATGAAAGAGTTGTGCTCAGGGTGCATATGGAAACAAAATAACATACGGAATTACGTAAGAGCTTTAAGTAGTTAGAAAAATAAGCATACAAGCAAAAGTTAAGTCAAATCAACAAAGTTGTCACCATGATAGTAGAAGTGGTTGAATAATTTTCTTTTGTATGCATAGTTCAGGTTCTTCAAACTGAATGGCTAGCGCTTCTGCAATGCAAAGGAAACGGAAACGTATTGTCTTTGGCAGGTTGTTCTTCACTTTGTAGATTATTTTGAAGCAGGAGGCGTTTGTTGAGATAGAATGACCAGTGGTGACGAGATGTTCGATTATTGCACTCCTTCTCTCTTTGTCTTCATTCAATTCATCCCATTTCTGTTTTCAGTTATATGAACAGTTATTTTAAGTTTGTTTCCATGCTCCTCCTGATCACACTTGAAATCCGTTTAGAATAACCATTTTACAGTTATATTCTAATCTTGTGTAATTTTTGTTTCTAAGACCCTTGCAATCTATATTCACACCTCCTAACTTCCATCTCAAATTGAAAAATATTATTTCAGTTTGTTTCCATGCTCATTTTCTACACACCTGCAACTCATACTAATCCTGTGTAATTTTTGTTTCTAAGCCATATCTAGTTGAAAATAATTGTCACCTTTTATTCGCCGTCGTAACTATATGGAATCAAATAAAAATTGTATCTATGTAAATTTATGAGTATAAATGCGATCGTAGAGCTGCTTTTGAGAATGAAATCGCCGAAAAGGCAGATATCTTTGCTGAACTTCATGATATCTTCTTTCTAATGAAACGTGCTAGTCACTACCAAAGTTATTGGCCTATCAGGGATTCTCAGCATCGTGAAGGCAAATGCAGTCTAAATGAAATGATACTGTAACGACAGAAGACAAGAGCCAGGCAACAGATCGTTTATTGAGGAAATCAACAGATATTTATAGATTTGTATGTACATTATTATTAGCTTTATTGTTAGCAGAGAAACAGCATCTTCTGATTGGTCCTTTTCTCACTGGAAGTTATTCTGTCATCTCTTTGTAGACGTTTCTTTGAAGGTCAGACCATATATCTACGAATCGTATCTGCTCACGCAAAGTCTTTGTTCTTGTTTTTCTCATGAACAAGATTTGGGAAGTAAACATTAACGTAAACTGCTGTCTACCAATTTTGCCTAGTAGACAGCTCTCACCACAATACTACGTTTCGTTACACGATACTGAAGATGAGATAGTCAGTTGGGAAAGAAAAGCAATAAGAAACTCTGGCGACGAACTATCCAAGAACCAATCATTCAACGGATGTACAGAAGGAAATGGGGAGGGATTGAACATACGCTGAGGAGGTCGTTCTGTGGCATCACATGTCAACCAAGCCATCGAGTGGAAAGTCATGGAATGTAGAAAGTATGCGACCAGTTGGGCGTCCTAGAATGGCATGGAGGAGACTGACTGAGAATAAAATGTGAAAGTATATGGGTAACCGTTGATCTATCTGTAAAGACTGTAGACAACAGGGTTTTCGAGACTGAGGGTGTCGACGTTCACGGATAGAATATTAACGCAAGATCTAATACCCACAACTTCTATAGTATTCATTCCGCATAGACCGAAAACAAAGCAACACACCAGAATGATCGTTCAAATTAAGAAGTATATTTTGGGACCAAAATCATAGTGAGAGGTTGACTGCCTAACTAGCTAGGGATCGTGCACGGACAACCGACAACGTGGCAGATAGCGTGGATGCCTTACTGTGAGCAATCAGCTAAATAAGTCGACTTAAACAGTGAGGGTCAGCATCCAATGTTCAGTGATGAATGTTGTGGCTAATAATTTCGGGGAATTATCTACCGCTACAGGGTGAAATCGAGATGTGCGTCTGAAACTCAAAGTTCCACCTAGAATACAAGGGTATAATAATAATATGGGACGATCTTGAAGGGTTATTTGCTGACTAACTATTCTGAAAAGGATCCACTTTTCTCAATGAACTTTTATCACTGATATTCATCTGTTAACGAGCAATTAAGTTATCATCATTATTTTCTTGAGTTCCGGGCGGAACATTGCCATTTCACACTGTTCTTCAGGGTTTTATTTTAACCCATACACTTTCATTCCCTCTGCATATGGTCGTGTTTATGTCACCGTCAGACATCCCACAAGCGATTCAGCAACAATTTGAAATAACCGTGAGTGATCTGAATAAGAATGGCATCAATTCGCGTCAAAATACACCTGTATATGAACTACCTGCATTGGTGGCACAGCGGTAGAATGCTCGCCAACCACGCGTCATATGGTTTGGAGTTCGATCCCCGGCCACCGATGCACTCCTTTACCTCGCTAAGCTAGTAAGTAATAAGACTGGTAGAGGAAAGGTAGGGTATAAGGCTAGCAACCCCATCCCGTAAAAGTAAACACTAGTGCTACCAGAACTTCAAAGCTATAGCTCTGAAGCCCTATGTTCCACTGGGAACGTAAGGGAATAAAGTAATTATAATAAATACACTCAGCATGAAAAATAAGATGCGGATTTTCAACTCCAGTGTGAAGTCAGTCAGTGCTACTTACTACACGGATCAGAGACTTGGCGCTGCGCCGCGTCACGAAGGCCATTTCGAACAAACTACACACTTTCATCAACAGCTGTCTTCACTCAGTATTCAAAACCAGATGGCCGATCAGAAAAGACCAGAAAAAGGGAGGGATCTCTGGCAATGAACGAACCAACACAGCAGGAACTGATTGTGCAACAAACATGCAGGAAATTTGGAGGTGGATTGGACTGACCATACTCTAAGGAAACAAACCATCAAGTGAGTGATATCACACGCCACGCCATCGCTTGAGATGGACCCAAATGGGAAGCGGCGAGTTAGTTGGTCGTCAGTGTGAGGGTGATGTGAAGAGGAGAAGAGGAAAGCATGTGATCAGACGTGGATCCAGGTGAAAACGTTGGCGGAGAACCGAACGCAATGGAGACGTGCGGCTGAATCCCTATGTTCGTCTAGGAACTAAAGGAAACAATAATAATAGCAATATAATAATAATAATAATGGTGGCTACTTATTCAAACTGCAAAGAAAGGAGACTTAAGTCCACTCAAGAACTGGCGTGGCATTATGCTCCTGTCCATCCCAAGCAAAATACTAAGCCGCATCATCCTGGAGAGAATCAAACATGCCCTGGATGAAAAACTTTGACCATAACAGGCTGGATTCAGGAGGAACAAGTCATGCATTGATCAAATTGCAGCACTGTGGATTATCATTGAACGCAGCTTAGAATTGTAGTCAGCTCTCTACCTCACTCAACTTCATTGACTTTGAAAAGACCTTCGACGGTGCAGCGTCGATCGAGAGGTGATTTGGCAACTACTTCGCTACTACGGGTTGCCGCTGACAATTATACATCTCATCCAACAGTTGTACGACAATGCTGCATGCCAATCAATCCACACAAAATGGAAACTCACGGAATCCTTCGAAGAAGTGAACGTGGGAAAAAGACAAGCCGGCTGGCCGCCTACTACCTCCAATGATTTTCCTGATTGCGGGCTGCAGACTGCATAATGCGAGAGACAGACAGCTGTGGGCAACGAGGAAACGTGCATAAAATGGACCCACACGAAAAGAGACTTGGAGGATCTAGACTTTACCGATGATATATACATGTGATTTCTCATAAACTGGAAGATATGCAAGTGAAAAGTAACAAATTGGCGATAGAAGAAGCATCAGAGATAAGACTTACTTCAGGTGAACATAGACAAAAACGGATGTGGTGATGAAGATTCCTGGCTGACAACAACATCAACAACAACAGATAATAATCAGCACAAATGCGGTAAATCTGAAAGAAGCAACCTCCTCTACCTACAGGTGGACGGAGCTGATGAGGATATCAAAGCAGCGAGGGTTGGGAAAGCAAGGCAAGCTTTCACTACTCTCAAGTCTGTGTGGAGGTCGAAAGCACTCATCATGAAAAATAAGATCCGGATTTTCAACTCCAATGTGAAGTCAGTCAGTGCTACTTTATCGATCAGAGACTTGGAGTGCGCGTCATGAAGAGCATCTCAAACAAACTACAGATCTTCATCAATAGCTGTATTCGCTCAATTCTACTCAACATCAGATGGCCAACCAGAAAAGATCAGCAGTAGTGATTGATCTCTGGGAGCGAATCAACCCAGCAGGAACCAACTGTGCAACAAATAAACAGGGAGAAATACAGGTAGATTGGCCATTCTCTGATAAAACAAACCGTCAAGTGAGTGACATCACACGCCAGGTCACCGCTCTCGTGGAACCCGTCTGAATGGGAAGCGGTGAGTTAGTTGGTCGTCAGTGCGAGCGTAGGGTGACACGGAGTAGAAGGTGGTGTGAAGAGGAGATGAAAGCATGTAGTCAGACGTGTGGAGTCAGGTGAAAACGTTGGCAGAAAAACTGAACGCAATGGAGACATTTGGCTGAAGCCCTTTGTTTCTCTAGGAACTAAAGGAAACAATAATAATAGCAATACAGTAATAATATTAAATATTAACTATCTATTTCAGTACAACGTGCTCGAATGAAACTTCGTTTCCACAAGATTCGATAACATTCACCTTCAGCCTGCGGATTATTAAAACATGAACTTCAACAAGTCTTATAAAATATATTGAATCATTTAATCTTCTTATAATTGAAAGCAATAGGCAAAAAGAAAACAAATAATATAATTAAAACAAAGTATCAAATGAACTTTACAATAACAATGTAATTCTTTTCCTAGTTCAATATTCAACATTCAATTTTAAATATAAAAAGCAAAAATGTGGGAGATTCGAATTTTTTCAATAAATCAATCTTAGAAAGACACAGAGAAAAAAAGTTGTAGAAATTATTTAGATAAAATAAAAAATTTGACTAACAAAAATAGTAAATAGGATTTAATGAGGGTGTTATAATGAAGATCTGTAATATTTCCAATTGAGTACAACTCATCATCTAATTTGTTGATTTCTATACAATCCCCAATTAATCATTTGTGTTATATTGTCGTAGTCTTCACCATTTGATGTTGTCAGCCATACTCTCCATTGGACAGATGAATTCTTACCTGTCAATTGATTTTCTAAAACATCTAATGCAGATTCATGTAGAATAGTACTTTGTAAGTTATCTATAAGTTGTATAAGACTTAAACATGCCTCCTTGCCATATTTATCACCAACACCGACAATCAATAAACTTTGATCCACACCTAATATATTCAGTATCGCGCTTATCTCTAAACTGATCTGATCCCAATTTAAGTCATCAACACTAGATTCACGTATATCCAGCGCATAGATGATGACATGATATTCCCTGATCAAATTACCTATCTCAGGTATTAAAGGCATAGGTCGAATTGTTCCATCCCCTTGGTTTTCATTACTCAGCAAATACATCCCAGATAATCGATTTCTGTTACCCAGTGGTTCACCAGTCTGTGATATAATACAAGTCAGTTTAACTAATGTGTTATGAACGACTGAGGCATTTAATCTGGGTGTTTCTATCATAATATTTTTACCGATCAGTTTTGTTTCCCCGCCTAAATATGGATCAGGAATAATAAAATCATCGGGTAATTGATCCCATACTGATGCTTTTATCATATGCTTTATAAGGCATTGATTTATGCGGGAAGAATCCATAGCTGGACCAATCATCAGGCATTTGTAATAGACAATATTTTCTACATCAGAAGGTGGACAGTCGGCATCCTTCTGACTGCTGAAATTCACATTTGATAATGCATGTAAACGATAGAATAATTTACGCATATAGTAGCCAGACTTTGGAAGCATTTGGTAATCATGTTGTAATCGTCTGTTCAACTGTTGATGTGTAGAAGCATGCTGGTGTATTCCACATAATTTGATGAGTATAAGTAATTCTCTATCAATCCATTTGTATTCGCACAATTTTTCACAACATTTTGGTGTCCATAAGCATAAATCATTGATTAAAGTGTTCCAATGTTTGCATACAATTGAACAATTCTCTAAATCTTTAATATCAAGTTGGCGGTAAATTCGAAATAATATTTCCACAGGGATTTGATTCATTAAATTCTCCACCCGTATTTGTTTCAGGTTTTTGCTTCTTAAAAATTTGTTGTAAAATTGAAAAGTAAAGAAAACATTTATCTCACTAGATTTCTTTGTTTCTCTTTTTTTCTAATCTCTTCTGAAATTGAAACTACCAATGTATTTATGTCTATGTAAGCAATGCGCCATTTTGAATAAAGTCGTCATTTCATTGGCCCAGAGGTGTCCTTGAAAGGTCATGTGAACATATTGAATTAACCTGAAGTGATGATATTGATGATCAGCGTTTACATTTAAGCAGACATATTAAATGAAATATGAATTTGTTCTTGCTTGACTCTGTTTTTCTAGGGTATTAGACAAAGTAAAAAGAGAAGAATCTATTGGATTATTAATTTTTTTTGTCCTACGGAGTGATAGATAAATGTATATAAATCTGCCAATATTTTAGAGAAGAGGGAGAGACAGTAAAATTACTTTGATGAACAGTCTAAACCTAGAAAAACTGTGAAAGCTTTTATCTCTAAGCAAACTGAGAATGAATCTTTTGGCATTCTTAAAGTGCTTAAAGTAGAGTGTATTTGGTGCAACATGCTCAAAAGAAACGAGTTAGATAAAACTCACACCTCAATAAACAACGTCTTCAAGGACATCAAATTCACAAGAGAAGAGGAATCCGAGAACAAAATCCCATTTTTGGACGTCTTAGTCAAGCGAACAACCACAGGGGAATTAGACACCCAAGTTTATACAAAATCAACTCACACAGATCAAATACTGAATTACAACAGCAACCACCCAACAAGACACAAAAGGAATTGCATGCAAACACTATTCAAGAGGGCCAGAACTCATTGCAGCACTCTCACCTGGAGGAAAATTGAAGAAAGATATCTCATGGACGTCTTCCAAAAGAATGGATGGATATCCACGGAATTTCATCAAAAGACATATACCCCCAAGCCAACCTATCAAACCAAAAGCCCCCAAGGAAAGCACAAAGAAAGTCGCCCTGCCATATATAAAGGATATATCAGAAATCTAGCAAAAATATTCATTCAGACAGCTATAAAACACAAAATAATCGAGCAAAGAATATTCTTTTCGATAAATTCCTCTTCCAGGCTCTACAATTATACATATGTTTATACACACATAATATTTTAAATTAGTAGTTAATAACAATATTAGCGTTTTTTTTTAATAATAATATCAGAAATCACTGCAAGACTCGTCAAACCTTTAGGAATTGACGACGCACAAAAACCAAAAAAATCACTTCACTCAGTTATATGTCAACCAAAAGACTCAACAGCGAAGGAAGATAAAACCAACATCATCTACAAAATAGATTGTATCAACTTCGAAAAACACTACATTGACCAAAGTGGACGTCCCCTTCGTCTTCGTATCCACGAACATAAGCTAGCCGTCAAAAAACATGACATCCACTCCCCCACTCATATCACTACATACAGACAACCACGGACATCAATTCGACTGGGACAACGTTCAAATATTAGACAGAGGAAGCAACAGAAATGCTAGAGAATGTTTAGAAGCCTGTCTGGTATTCCAGTGAATCGTCAATTAATAGACACATCGAGATAGACAAAATATATCAACCGATAAGAAAGAAACCTCACACACAAAGGGTCAAAGTTAAAATCAAAGAAACAATCAGTTGCAATACAAGTAGCCTACAAGGCGTGAAGACACACAAAAACAACCAATCACGTCCAAGGTCACCTGAAGAGATGACTTATAAACTCGTGGCGAAATCTAAAAGCTCACTTCAAGAGATTGAAGTATGCGCCGAAGATGTCGCCTAGTAGGGCGATGAAAGCTTCGCAAATTAACTATCCAGCTCAGAGAACACAACCACATCAAAAAACATGCTTACTATGTCTCTTCAGGATTAAAACGAAATTTTGGTTTGTGTTGGACTGGATCATGTGGGATTTGATTCCCTCGACCGAGAGGCGCTATGGCTGCTGTGTTTGTCTGTGATGGGAATGCGGACAAAATACGTCGCACTAATCAAGTAGTCAGGTAAGTGCCTATGGAGAGTTGTTATCGAAAGTGATGATAATCAATGGCGTCCGTCACGGATGCTCACTTTCTGTCCCCCTTTCTGTTTAAATTCATCATAAATGTACTCATTGAATTAACCCTAACTGCTGACTCCAGCGACTCACGGAATGACTGACTTGTTGCCAGATGAAATAGTCCTCCATCGTAGGTGAAGACGCTGAAAAAATACAACAGAGTCTTCTGCGATTCACCCGCTCCTCTCAAATATAAGACGATGATGCCACAGGACTGGAGTGCACTAGACTAGACTACACTGACTCACTGTCTGCTTAAAAATGGAGAGGGAGTGAAGTGGTTGGTGGAGCGTGTTGAACACCTCACTTATTTGGGAAGATGAATTAGACAGCGTCGGCGAGTTGATGGTTGACGGAATCCGAGCATGGATACAGAAGGCTCGTTTTGTATTTACCTGTCAACTTACTCCATATCTGGCTGAGTAGACATGATATCCGGCTGACTGGCTGACTGGCTATCGACTAAAGGACGTGTGCGCCACTCAGCAGTTCGCTTTATCCTCCTATATAGCTGGCTGTGAGTGAGACATGGTGATTGGAAGTGGAAGACATGAGAAACCTGGCTTACTGGCTGTCTCTGATCATATGTGTCCGGCTTCTTTCTTTCCGCCGTGTTAAGTGGTAGGTGTTATAGGGTGAGTAATATTGAGGTTAGACATCAGTCGAGTATTAGTCAAATGAGGAGCGAAAATCAGTGGACGAGGTTGTGAATCAGCTACATCGATTCAGATGGTTAGAACATGTGTTACACATGCATCCCTAGCCATCGCCTTTCTTGACAATGGGCAATGTTAACCGACTGACATAGGATTGATCATTTTGGGAAAGAGAGAGCTAGTGGTGGTCAAACGAAAACACGGCATCAGTTCATGGAATCTTTAACAGTCAGTTTAAGCCAGTGACGTAGGGAGGTGTAGAATGGCTTCCTAACTGACTGGTTGGGGTCCTGCATAAGAAGTCGACATGTCAACCTGAGACCGAGGAGCACTTCGGTCCAATCAATCAATGGATGGTAAAATCTAAAATTGAATTAAATCAATCAAATTAATTATTCATTAATTTGACTTTCCGAGGTGCCTAATATTTTCGTATGATGTATTTTTGTGCGATCAAAAAGACAAATCGGATCAGTCTATCTTCCATCTTTATTTGCAAAGGCTCTCGGGGTGTTCAGAGTTGGTTAAAGATTAGTATTGGTATTTGGTCTGCACACGAGTTACATGTTGCCTTCAAATATCGATCCCTAGTAGCAGTATTATTATTATTATTTGTGTTGATCATATTAACTAACACATGTCTAATTTTCATGTCGTAATGGAATCCCTATATAAGTAGTCTCATCACTGTTCATATGGTATTATACTATCAGTCTTTCAGTTACTTTTGTGAACATTGTATCATTGTAAGCATAAAAAACTGACGTAGTGGTGTGTCGTCTATTTATTTTAATAATTTAATAATTCCCATTGTAACATTAAGAACACAATATTCAGCAAAGAGACTCTTTTCAACAACGAATTTATTATCAAGCTGTACAACCGTATATACATGGTTTATGGCAAAGCCTGAAAATTCTCAACTTAGTCAAACCATCGATCATTTCGACATTTATAAAAGATACGTAGTCGACACTTTCGTTATTTGTGATAATAACGTAATTCTTGATGATATCATGTTTGCTTTCAACAACTGTCATCCTTCTTTACAATTCACCATAGAAAAGGAATCTGAACTAAGTATTCCGTTTCTCGATGTGTGCCTCAGTAGACGTAATAACGGATCTCTCAAAAGATCCACACACCGGAAACGTACATGGAACGGACAACTAACTAATTTTTATAGTTGGGTGCCTATCTCCAGGAAAAGGGACCTAATTCATTCGCTCTGCTTTAGGATAAGGAATATTTGCACTTCTGATTGCTTTGACTCAGAACTTGACTTCCTAAAAGCCACGATCGCAGATAACCGTTACCCTAACCGATTTATTGACAGCAACGTGAAAGATAAGCAGTCTAAACTGGTCACCTACACAGTTCCGAAGAAAACCTTATTCAGAAACTTGGAATTCTAAGGTGATCAAGCTTCAGATATGCTGAAAAATCGTCTCTCTAAATCAGTCAGTAAGACGTTCTTTGCAGCAAAGTTACAAATGACGTTCATGAGCCTCAAGTTGTTCTCCACCTCTGTAAAAGATAAGCTCCCCTGTCTGGCCGCCTCCATGTGCATCTATCGGTTCACCTGCTCTTGTGGAGCAAGGTACATTGGTCGCAGCCAGAGGACGCTTTCCACATGGATACGAGAACATATTCAAGCAGCATGGTTTTACAAGGGAGAAAGGAAGTGTGTGCGAAGCTCTATTCTAGAACACTTGATCGACTCCTGTCACTCTGCCAACACTGACCATGGTTTTTAAGATCATAAACAGAATCCATGCTAACTTCCCGCGTTTTCTTCGTTACAGACCTCTAAAGACAGAGGAGGCCTTGGCAATTCATTACTTAAAGCCAGTCACACCTTTGTTTACAAAAGAAGTTTGTACAATCCCTACTTCTGTCTTGGCCGTAGAGGGATAGACACTTATTTATTTTGTTTATTTAGTTATTCTATGTACTTTTCCCTTATTACTACGGTGGCATAGCGGTTAGGACGCTCGCCGACCATGCACATGGTCCGGGGTTCGATCCCCGATCGACGCACCCCTTTACCTCACTAAACCAGAAATAATGCTGGTGAAGAGGAAAGGTTGGGCATGAGGCTAGCAACCCCAATCCTGTAAAATAAACACTGCTACAGAAACTTCAATCCACTAGCTTGAAGCCCTATGTTCCACTGGGGAACGTGAAGGAAAAAAAAACTACGACTATTATTATTATCATTATTATTATTATTACTATTCTCACTCTGAATCTTTTCCACTTGACCCACTTGACATTTTAAACCCAAAATTATTATTTTTTATATTTTTATTTTTACAATATTGAATTCTATCTTATCAAATTTCACACCATGATGT